AAAAATAAATAAAATGCTCCGAGGGCTTCAAGGTCCAGTTCTATAATGTGGCATACAAGAGCCTCTGTGTCCCATCTCCCACCGCTGCCTTCCCACCCTAGTCTGACGCTGTAGACTCCTGTAACCCTGGACTCTTGGCACATGCAGTTCTCCACTGCTGTGTACTTGCTTTGATACTTGGGAAGCACCTGATACTGGTTTCTTGGTATTTTTCCTCCTGCTAGAATAGTTTCTGAGCTTCTGCAGGGGCAGAGAGGAAGCCTTGCCTCATCCAAGCTTGAGTCCACCCAGCTTTGCCATGTCTCTCTCCCTCGGTATGACTATGTGGGAGAGCAGCTCCGTGTGGTATCTGGGAACTCTTGGTGAGGGCACAGGCTTCGGTTACAGAAGCCCTGCATTCTTTGCATTTTTACATTAGACTGGATCTGCTTGGGGTTTTTGGTTTTGGTTTTGTTTCCTCCTATTCACCTTTGTTTCCCCATCTTTTTATTATGAAAATTTAAAATATATAGAAAATTGAAAGGATGTGGCATGCAACACTTGTATAACCACCCGTTTTGTCATATTAGTCTTACTTATGAGTAGATTTGCTTTTGGTTTTGCTGGACCATTTAAAGGCAAGTAATTCAATGTGCCTGCCTCTGAGGAATAAAGACATTCTCCATTATGACTACAACATTATTGTACCTAAGATAATTAACAATTTTTTTTTTTTTTTTTTTTAGTTGTAGTTGTCATTGTTGTTTCTAGGCTGGATTCGAACCCTCCAGCTCTGGTGTATGTGGCTGGCGCCCTAGCCGCTTGAGCTACAGGTGCCAAGCTGATCCTCACTACTCATTTTATAGATGAGGAAACTGAGGCTCAGAGAGGTTGTTTAACCTTTTTCAAGATAGCACCAGTGTTAAAGCTGTAACCCTATAGCACTGTGGGTTTAGACCCTGTTTCCTAGAGGAGGCAGCCTCCAACCCCAGAAGGCTGTCTTGGCGTTCTCATTTCTCAGGGGTGGTGAGCAGTTTTTTGCATCTGTGCAGGTGATCCTTATGTCTCCTGTCTCTCTGTCTCTGTGGCTTACCACATTGTCACATTCATTTGACTCAAACATGGGATCGAGGCCAGTTTTCTTCTACAGGTGCTTTCCAGATCAGGTCACTGTGATGGTCTCTAAACACCACTCTGCTTTCTTTACACCCTTATCCTTAGGAGCCGCGTGTGGGCAGAGCCCTGTCTGATTGACAGAGCCAAAGAGGAGTACAACGGGGTGGTAGAAGAATTTTTGACAACAGGAGAGAAACTTTTCGGACCCTACGTTTGGGGCAGGTGTGGTATCACATGGACTCTGATGTCTTTTGTTAAACAGAATCCTTGGTTTCTATTCTTCCTGCTGGTGCAGCTTCTCTTTCTTCCGTCTCCTAGAGCAAAGTTCCCCTGAAAATTAAGATGAAAAAAAAAAGGGAATTCGCACAAGGCACAGAAGCTGCAGGGAGAAAAATGGAGGAGCCTGGGCTTTATTTTCAGCAGTGGGCAGAAAATTGTACTTTGCCTGTTTAGTGAGTGTATTTTGTAGGGCTTGGAAATACAGCAGAAGCTCCATAGTTCACCTCCACATATTGAGCACCTCCTTAAGTTGACCTAATTTTCATAGACTGGACATGCAGTAGCCTAATTCCTTATATTGACCACCTCTGTATATTGACTAGTTTGTTACAGTCCCCTGGGTGGGCAACTTACACAGGTTCTACTGTAGATGGGGAAAGCCATTGCTCAGGAAATCGAGGTAGGGTATGTTCTGGGGAGCCGAGACCTTGCTGAGACTTTCCGCCTTCTTGGCAGGTACGACTTGCTCTTCATGCCACCATCCTTTCCATTTGGAGGAATGGAGAACCCTTGTCTGACCTTTGTCACCCCCTGCCTGCTAGCAGGGGACCGCTCCTTGGTTGATGTCATCATCCATGAGATCTCCCACAGTTGGTTTGGAAACCTGGTCACCAATGCCAATTGGGGTGAATTCTGGCTCAATGAAGGTTTCACCATGTATGCCCAGAGGAGGATCTCCACCATCCTCTTTGGTAAGGTGTCCATCATCCTAAGGATTCTGCCTCCCATTCCTTCACCTGTAAGGCCAGTGGGATCTCCTTTGGGGGTTTCAGGATGGAGATGAGTGGGAAGGGAGGAGGTAGTACTATATCCTTTCAAACATTTGTGTGTGTGTGAATTATCAAACCATATGTAGTTTTACAACTGGATTTTTTTTAACTTGATAAGGTTAAACATTTCCCCAATTCATTTAACTTTTCTTCTGTAGCTGTATAGCATGGATGTTTTAGTCAATCTCTAGTTGTTGAAAAGGTTGTTAGCAATTTTCCCTTGACATATTTTGAAATCATAATTTCAAAATCAATTTTCATAATCAAAATCATAGATTCTTAAAATCATAATTTCTGGGTCTGAATATTTTAAAAGCTTTTGAGTGTAAATTGTTCATTACCTCCCAGAAAGTTTGTACAAGTTTATTGTTTCATTCTGAGTACATAGCCAGGCATGGTGGCTCCACCTGTAATCCTAGCACTTTGAGAGCCAGGGTGGGAGAATTGCTTGAGGCCAGGAGTTTGAGACTAGCCTGAGCAAGAGGAAGACCCTGTCTCTATAAAAACAGAAAAACTGGGCAGCTCCTGTGGCTCAGTGGGTAGGGCGCTGGCCCCATATACCGAGGGTGGCAGGTTTGAACCTGGCCCTGGCCAAACTGTAACAAAAAGCCAGGTATTGTGGCGGGCACCTGTAGTCCCAGCTACTCGGGAGGCTGAGGGAAGAGAATCGCCTAAGCCCAGGAGTTGGAGGTTGCTGTGAGCTGTGATGCCATGGCACTCTACTGAGGGCAATAAAGTGAGACTCTGTCTCTTAAAAAAAAGAAAAACTAGCTAGGTTTTTCTAGTGGTGGGTGCCTATACTCAGAAGGCTGAGGTGAGAGGATCACTTGGGCCCAAAAGTATGGGGTTGCTGTGAGCTATGACGCCACAGCCCTCTACCCAGGGCAACAGATTTATTATTTTTAAATAAATAAAGAATTTATTATCATTATTAAATAAATAAAAAATATGTTGACAGAAAACAGTATCCATCAGAGAAAAGACATGATTCTCCCAGTCCTCATTTGTACTAGAGACCCACAGCCTAAGCGAACCGAGTCCTTTGTAGCCCAGAGCAGCTGAGGAGCTGGGGACTAGGTTAGGTTGTGTGTAAGTGACCTTGTTTGCCCTCAGGGTCCCCAGGAGAGTAGTGGTGTTAAGTTTCAGGTGTCTGTCACTGTTCTTCGTGAGGCCACAAGGGGGCAGCACAGCATGTGTGTCAGAAGGGTATCCTTCAATGTGGTGACAAACTTCTCTTGGGGCTTCTGTTTGATTTTGCCCCAGGGGCTGCATACACCTGCTTGGAGGCCGCAACTGGGCGGGCTCTGCTGCGCCAGCACATGGACATCACTGGAGAGGAGCACCCACTCAACAAGCTCCGCGTGAAGATTGAACCAGGTCCAGGAGGCTCTGTCTGAAACCCCTCCCCTAAGTTGAGCATGGAGCCCCAAGTTAGTTCAAGCTTCATGTTGATTAGTGAACACTTAGAATACTTTCTT